GCCATTAAAAAAATTCACTTAGCAAGAAACACAGTGAACTAAATTCTGCATTACAATCACAGCAGTAATAAATTTCTCAGCATAATTTTGTAGCACCAACTTATATGTTAATTATTATTATTAACAGGTTTGTATTATTCAACTATTTTCCTTCATAGCAATAATTAAATTGTGCAGAATATCAGGGACAAATGAAGTTATTTCCATGAAAAAAAAAGTTCAACTTACTGGATAGTCCACATTTCATACTGTGAAGTCTTCTGTTCTGAGGCAACGATACTGCAGCAGCTGAAGCATTATGAACTGTCATTCCAGACTCCTTTAAGGAAGAAGAAAGCTATTTAAGCTGCTAAAGCCAAGAGTGGCAAAAACTCTTCCCAATCTCTCCACGAATTTACCAATTTTATAAACCTCACTCTTCATATTTAATTTACTAAAAATTTATCAAAAAACCATTACTGCATATTAAAATGTATCATCACTCCAATGACTCCAGTAAGCTACTATCAGTAGGCACAGGATAGGCAAAATAGGCACAAAGAGAGCAAATAGATTTTCAGCCTGTTAACTAAAATACCCAAAACTCATATCTACATACTTTCGTGCATACCCTATCCCATACTCTTATCCTTCCCATCAACTCTTAACTGCCTCTAGACTATCATGTAATTCACAGAATAACAATTAGCTACAGCTTAGAATAATTAGCATGACTATGTTAAAAACACATCCCTTATCTTCACAATAACCTACCTTTGTTCTACCATAGCCTGCATCCAAGGCAACTAACATGTTTCTCAAACCAATGTGGACATTTCTATCCTCAAAAGCCTAAAACTTGTCATAAGTTTCTTCCTTATTATAAATGCATTTACTTTCATTTACATAGCTTATTTACTACAGTAAAACAAACACTACAGCCATTCCTATTTCAAGCCTTCATCTATTCCACTGTGGAATTTTGAAGATTGAAGAACTGCAGCTGCATCATTACAATGGTTATATAAGTAGCTACTACGCCAACTGAAATAAAGTACAGATTTCATCAAAGTAAATTCAATAATAAACATGTTATTCAGTAAAATAGGATAACATATTATCTACCTCTTATTGTGCACAAAGCGATAGCAATAAACATGCCCAAATCCCACCAGGAACACCAACAGCAGCATCTATGGGGCTTCAGCTAAGGATGCAATCATGTTTATCATGTTTATTTGGTTTTCTCAGTCCTGTGAAGGTTTCTATAAAGCATTTGTAAAACAGCAAGTGCTTTCCATGCCCTAGATATCTATTGACACATCTGACTGAAAACTGACATTAAGAGCTATGTCTCTGTGAACGTAAACCCTGCAGAGAGTGTAAAAACAACCTTAGCATTGCTGTACCTCTTTCTTTTGAGACAGCTTATTAAAAGGGAGAACATGTAAAAATAGTTTGTTCTACCTCACATTCTTGATTAAGAAAAGAAACGTATGTATTTTTTTCCCATTTCTCCTGCACATATTTCTTACAGAAGAAGTGTTAAAAGCCCTAGAAGCCACCACAGAAGGAAATGAAGCTTATTTCTATACAGCGACCCTTGGGGGGAGCCTCAGTCCCCAAGCACCTGGTGTTACCCATGCCTAAAACCGTGACCCCACAGCAGCCCCGCCTCATACCTCCACCAGGCAGGCAGGACGAGGCATCACCTCGTGCCACAAAGGACCCCCCGCTACCCCATTCACGCTTCGTAAGACACCACCCCATGGTCCAAAGGGATGAGCGCAGACCCCCCACTCTCTCCCACTCTCCCTACCTGCATGGCCGCACCGAGGCCGTCCTCTCTCCAAGGTCCCGCGGCGCTGCTTGGGCTGCGGGCAGAACACGGCAGGGTTTGGTCGGCTCGGGCAGCCCATCTCGCAGGAGCCCCGCTCCACCCCGGCTGCTCTTACCTGTGGATGGGGAAGTCGTCACCAACGGGAGTCTTCGCGCTAGCACCTCGCGGAGACCACGCTGCAAAGCAAAAGCACCAAGTTAACGGCGGTCAGACCACTTTGTCGTACCACACTAACCCGAGTTAGGAGCTCACCCGGCGGCAGCCCGGCGCACAGCAGCGCCCCAAGGAGCAACCTAGCCTCCATGCGGACAGGGAGTGATGTTCTGAGAAGCAACAGCCCCTCGCACCGACCGCTACTTAAGCTCACTCCGCCCTCCCAGGCGCAGCGGCCGGGGGGTGTAAGTGGCCTCCCGCCCTCCACCCTGGCCCTTCCCTGAGCCCCCACCCCGATCACCACCCCTCATCGTGCAGCCCTGCATCTGTTGCAGGTGGGGGGCACGTGCAGCGCCTCGGCTGCCCGCATTTCTTACGCAGTGATGGGGTTGCGTATCTGAGCTCTATGCTATAACGCCCGTGCTGCTGGGTCTTGCCCTACTGCTGCTGGCTACGCACGGCTCCCGGCACCGGCTGCTGGCACAGGGGTTGTCAGTGCCTCGTGAGCTGAAGGCTCGAGGCTGCTTGCTGGAGCGACCGACAGAACTCTGTTAACAACAACAGTCGTGCTGGTGTAGAATGCAGCGTGCAGCTGATGTGTAGTGATTATTTCTGCAGCTTCTCACAGCTGCACATTCAGTCTTGAATTTAGAGCTTTTTTTCTTTTCTTTTCTGCTCTTTCTACCTTCCCTACCCTCTTTTTTCCTCCCTTTTCCCTCTTCCTCTCTCTGTTGCCTTTTTTTATTATTTTTTTTTTCTGTGCTTTTCCCTCTCCCATCTGCTGCTGCCTTTTCCCCAGTCATTTTGCAGGTGCACATATCCTATAACAGCAGCTTTAGAAGCTGCCCACACCGGGTGAGAAACTGCCTCGAATGAAAAGGGGCCTTTTCTGCCTGCTTTGGGAAGTCTGTTAACAGAAAGTCATTAAAAAGGTCTCTTTTCTGCCTTTGTAATTTGTCCCTGAGGATTGTATTTCTTGCTGCAACAAGTGTTTCATTTCTAATGAAATGATGGAAAACCAGCGATGTTTTCACCGAGGATTCTGTTCTCTCCTGTAAAAGTTAGAGGAAGAATGTGTATGAGAGATGAAAAGAGGAGACAGAAAAGATCCTTTTCTAAATAACCTCAAACAGAGTTTTGCAGTTGTTTTCTGCCCACGGCGCAGAGCCCTGCTCCTCTGGGCACACCACACACTTGGCTTTGGTGTGCTTTCTCTGTTCCTGACCATGTTAATGGAAGTGGAGAGAGTTCATCAAAAGTATGTTTGTGCAGCAAAAGTGCAAAAAACATTGCAAAAAAATGTTTGCACAACAAACATTTTAATGCATTTCTTTGCTTTGCAAATGGGCTTGACCATTTTATTCATCTTTCCTTAATGCCACGTGTAAAAATAATAACTGGAATGAGCTTAAAGCTGATTTAGGCATAATTTGATTTCCCAACATGAAAGATTTCATTACCAAAACTAATAAGCAGTCAAAATTATACCATCTTTTAATCTGGCCTATTTGAAGTAATGAATGATTCAGAACTACCTCACAAATCTCAGAACTATCTCATTATTAAGCTCACTGTTTTGGAGCAGGGATTTTACAGAAATTATTCTTTCATCAGCTGAAAATTAGGGTTAAAAAGTCAATTTCTTTCAAATACACATAATCTTCAGCTGACAAAAGATCCGTTTCTGTGAAGTCCTCTCGTAGTGATTGACAAACATCACTGACATAGAGTTCAGTGTAAAACTGAAGGACATGTACAAAGTAAGGAATGTCCTTTAAAGTTGTGCATCTCCTTCCTACTGTTGGCAAATACAAAACAATTTTATTTTACTTATGCAGGGATGAAATTATTTCACAATGTGTAAAATGCTCTGTTAGAACAACTTTTCAGCATGGTGTGGTATTGCAGCTTACCGTAGGCAGAAGACAAGTGATTTGTCTATTTGTTGTGCTACTAAGAGAAGTTTGTTTTCTGAAAGCTCTCTGTGTTTGTACACAGGTTGGCAGTGCATTCCTCCTTCTTGTTCCTGACACCTATGTGCAAAGCAGGCAGCGGACCTACCACTGAAATGTTCCTACACAGCAAAAAGGGGCAGGAGCAATTTCCAAGGGAGCTGGTGTCACTTAACACAAATAATATATTTGTTATATGGTTTGTATTTGGCTGCTTGGATTTTTTTATTATTTTTATCATGCCTTTCTATACATCCCGACAGGTTCCCACAGTCAGGGAAGCTTCCAGTGCTTAAGTAACATTCCCTATGGAGCTAGGGAGGTAAAACTCATTCTGCTGTGAGGCTCAAGGACATGGGGCAGCTGCTCCCCTGCACTTCTGCTAGCCTTCATTGTAGAAGTCTTTATTATCAGGTACTAGATCAGGGAAGGTAGGAGGAGCAGGAGCCCAGGACAAAATGACCTACAAGAGATTAGTGTGAAAGAGCTTCCCTTTCAGGTGCTTTGAGCTTGATTCCTATCCAGTCACTCATTGTAGGCACTTCATGCTACCGATGTAAGCAGTGGTGTTTACTTTCATAGGAAAACCTGTTGGCAATGAAGTCAGACTTGAACACCCAACTACGGTACAACACAATCACACAGTTTACCTAAATATATATTACATATATTTCAGTAGAATAATTCACTGAAACAAATTCACCTTCCATCCGTTTCAGGTGTTAGCATGCTATACATTTTATATTTTGCAGTTTGTGTATAAAGCAGAGCTAGAGCTACACCTGCCTACCAGAACCAGGGAGAAGGCTGGGCGTCAGCTCCTGCTGCGTGAGAGCAGGCTGTAAATTCATCCCGCAGCCAACAGGTCGGTGCGAGCTGAGGGAACAGCCTGCAGAAAGGGGTGACTTTTTTTTCTCTTATCTCCTGTTTTCTTTCTTTCGATTTGCCCTTAAGCAGCCGTCCCGTCGGTTCGCACTCAGGTACCCGCTTACAGCGGCCGGTACCGACAGCCGGGGCTGCTGGAGGCGGCGGCGGGCGCACCTCCCACCCCGCCGGGGCGCGGCCTCGAAGGCGCAGCCGCTCCGCGCAGCGTTCGCACCCCGCGTAGCAGCGCAGCATGGAGCGCCGGGTCGCCCGCGAGTTCCGGCACAAGGTAGGGAAAGCTCGGGGCACGGCTGCTCACCTCGGGATGGGGGAAACGAAGCGAAGCGCCGCGCTGCGGCACGGTTCTGGGCTGTGCGCCGCCCTTGGGTTGGGAGACAGGAGTGGCAGGGTGAGCCTGCTGTGAGAGGGTCCCTGAAGTGGGAGGGAGGAGAAAAACAAACAATCAAACCGCGAACAAGTAAGCAAACAAACAAAACCACCACCAGCAAAAACCATTCTTCGAAGCATGAGCGTTGATGCAGTGGGTGTTGTGTTATTTTAATAAAATCATATCGAAAGTGTAGCGCCCAGTCTGGTTTGCGGAAGGCAAAGGTGCAGGTGTTGAAGTCCAAGCCCACGGTTCTGCAGGCAGCTTCTGTGCAGGAGTTCAGTTCCTCCTTAATGCTTGGGAGTGCAATTGTGTGTGTGCAGCCATGTGCAAAGGCACTTGATGCATGGAGCGGCTCCCTCTGCCTGGCACATCTTGTATCATGTACCATCAAATAAGCCTTTGGCAGAGATCAAAAGCGCATGAGTGGAATAACCGCAAAAGGAAACGAGGAGAAAAGTGATTTACATATTTAGGATTGTGTTTTTCATAACAGTGAGTGCTGGCTTTGTTTGTTTGCTTTCCTCAGATGAGGAGTTTCTTTGAGACAGCTCCTGAAAAGAGAAGAAGTGTTTTGTAGAAATATCATCTGGTAATGAAGTTGTTAACAAGGAAATGTTAGAATGAAGTAGAGGGGCTGTAAAAAAAAACAAAACAAAACAAAAAAAACAACGAAATGAATTCCAAAGACTTTGAGAACCTGGATACTGAATAATGATGTCTGCAGCTGTGCAGAAGTACTTTCAGTTTTGATATCTATTACTGTGTAACCCAGCAGTGGGTTGTGCAAGGTATCTGTAAGGGCTCAGGTTGCTAGGCAGATGGCTGCCATTCTGAACTTTAAACCCTCTTCCACCTCTTCCCTTTAACTGCTGCTGCAATTATTCATAAACTACCCCAGTCCCACCCTGATCGAGTAAGAAAGGCTTATTGTCAGCATGTGTTGGTGCAAGTACGTAGGGTTCATGCCTAAGTGAAAGCTCTTCCTCTGAGTAAGACAATACCGGAACACTTCTTTAAGTTGGTTTGTATAACCATGCTGAAGTGGCCTCTGTGGGGATTTCGATGTCTTGACTGCTTTTTTTCCTTTGCCAAAATGAGGAAAATGACCAGTTATGTACCACTCAGATATTTGTCTCTTTCATTTCATTTTTTCTCCTTGGTAATTTCAATTAATTCTCCCCACTGATGAAGCACTAATGCAAGTTATATATGTAAATCTATTGGCCTGCTTTTCAGTTTTCCTTATTAGCTTTCCAAGGCCTCAAAACTCACATGGAACTTGATATTGTTCTGCAAAAGCTGACTGGCACGCTGCTGCTGCAGCAGCCCCATCACTGTAGTACGAACCTGTTTCACACCAAAAGGTGCTGATTTTAAACAGTAAAAATGTATTTTCACTTTATTAAGGCTCCTGAGAACTGATTTACTTTTAAGTTGATTTCGCGGTGTTTTAAAAGGGCAGCAGATGTTACACAGTTCGCTTTGCAATCTTGTGTTTCAAGTTAAATGGTGCCATATGTTGAAGCTCATTCCGGAAACTGAATCAGTAAATCCATTTCTAAATATTCACTTTTACCTACAGAGTATTTCTCTATATCAGTTTTCTGATGAAAAGCATGCTTGAAGGCAAAGCTCGTAACAATTTTACAGATAGTAAAAGAAATTAGTAGACATGATTAGTCAGCAGCAGCCAGCTCTGTGTTTTGTGATTGCCAACAGCAAACATTTCTTCAGCTAGTGAGAGAAGTTGGAGAAGTTGGTCTGCTCTTACAGTTAAGAGAGTTTACATCAGTTACACTTTCTGTTTTAATCTCAGGTGTTACCTCTTTTCAGATAGATGTCTGTTGAATGCTTCTTTGTTTTTTATAAAGTCTGCTAGTATGCTGTGAGTCTTGTGATAGCACTGCTTTGACAGAACACAATAAAAAAATATGGAGAAGTTAGAAGCTGCAAAAATTTGTTGCACTGAAGAAAGATTAGAAGTATATCTTTGACAAGGTTTGTAGGTACAGACATGTCTTGGCCATGGTTGGTGTCTTTGTAGACAAGTTTACCTTGTCCATGCATGTATACATGTGTAACACTGAGTATGAGATGCTGTACGCTCATCATGCAAAGTAACTTTTCATGTGTGAAAATAAACTTTATCTATTATCTATCCAACGCAGAAATACATTGGGTGAACTCTTAGAATCTTTTAATGTCTGTTAATTTCCAAGAGAGACAGTGGAGTTGAACCAGAAGCTATGGTCCTGGAGCACAAATCAACAGATGTTTTATAGGAGTTTCATATAAGAAAAACAAGTGGAATGGACACTTCTTGGCTTGAAAGCTGTGGAATCACCTATCCCATGCCTTCAAAATTAACTTTTATTGAAAAATAAAGAGATACTAGAATATTTCACTTGTCCAAGTTATGTCACCGTTGATTTCCTCTTTTCTTAAATGTGGAGGCATGATCTTTAACAGATTTATGAAGCTGGAATCAGCTGATAGAAGCTATTGATGGCCCTAGGTAAATGGCTAAAAGGGACAAAGGGAATGTGAAGCATGTATTTAGTTTAGAATACAATATAAAGCATTGCAAACTTAGAAAGCAAGGGCCTTTGTTTAGCTATGCAAATTGGTCCTCAGTCTACACCTCACAGTAATATTAGCCTTTAGGTCAAATGTAAATTCTTTTCTTAAATATTGAGCTTGTCTAAATGTGAAGCTGCTGTGCTGTGACCTCTTACTGGAAGGTCTCACCAGCATCACAGAGTGTAAGTTGAATTCCTCATATAAGAATTCTAGTTTGTTGTTATATTTATATCTATACATATATCTTTATTTTCCTGTAAGCATTTGAGAACAGGCACTGTAATGTGACACTGGTTTAACTAAACGTACTATTACAGGGGGAGGAAAGAATAACTGGCAAGTTCTACCAGTTAAGAGCTGTAGCTGAGAGGAAAGGTAGTGCAGCTGTTTACGTAATGTTACAAATGAGATACTGCCTGAAAGCAGTGGATTGGAACCACAGAACATAGATTGTAATTATCTCAGAGGAATGTGTTTATCTGTGACAGCATGTGCTATATTAACGAATGGCCAAAAAGGTTTCTGAAAACATTTATTCAACAGTACAGCGATTATCAGGTAAGACTGATATTCTGTTATTTTAGAGGTATTGCACGGCCAAGAGGACTTCAATATTTACTATTTTGTCCAATTGCTGCAATAATAAATTAAAAGAAGTCTTGTCAATTTCACTTTTTGAAGGATACTTTATTAGAAAAACTTTTTATTTATATATATTTTTTTTAATTTATAAAAAATAAAAATCCTTTCCCTGCTGAAGTCTTTGATCTGTGACATAAGAATTTGTTGAAGATTTGTACATTTGACGTTTGTGGCTGTTTAATCAGATCTACAGTAACGTCCTTGGATTTTCAGGTTAATCTGCTAATTGACAATGAAGCGGAGAAGGATTACCTTTATGATGTGCTGCGGATGTACCACCAGTAAGTAGCTTTATATATGTTTGTGTAGAATATTGAGAATGTTTTGGGAGTCAAGACTTTAAGTGCTCTTTCAGGAAGTTACAGCAGAAGTAGCATTTTTTTGTGCTTTTTAATGAAATATTATGCTTCTACAATGTAGCCTGCAGACATGAAAGGGGCATTTCTTTGTCGCTCATAAAGTTATTTTGACGTAATGACTTGACTGTTTTGGAAATTAATTTGGTTGATTAGGGGTGGACTGTGGGAGTGAAGCATCTGGATGATAGAACAGTTCTTCAGAGACAGGAAGAGAATGTTTATCAAATTAATTATTTCCCGGTGATGCTTATTTCTTTATAGCAGAGGTTTTTGTTGAGTAAAGATTTTTGCTTACTACTTAGGATAAGACTTACTTTCAACTGCTTTACCCAAAAGCTGAAAACTTAGGGTGGGAGTCTGGCTTGTTTAACTCTGAGTTATTATGATATAATGGAAAGAAACTGTAAGGTGATAGGCTGGTCACTAGTTCTTTTGCTGAACTGATTTAAACCACAGTTTCTTTGGACCTGTGTCACTGCAGATGAGATCAGCATCTCATCCATTGTTTCTCAAAGAGGATTAGAAAGTATTTTCCACTCATCATAGACGAGTGGCTCTGATAGACATTGTTTCCATTCATACCTTAATAGCATCTAAGCTGAGTGAAATGCAGACGTTTCGATCAGATGTTTGTACGGAGCTATAGCTTTTGGTGTATTCAGCTGCATATCTGATTCAGTTTCACTCAGGTCTGCCTAATTGCTTCTCCTTTCATAAAGCCTGTTGTTTGGAAAGCAGGTTGAATCAGTATCTCTTAATTATTTAAAATCTTCTTCCAGTTATAGAACTAACAACATGTATAGTATAACTGTTCCTCGGTTCCCAAAATTGCAGTAGCTTAAGCAGAATTTCAGTATCTCTATGAACATATATTGATGAAGTACCAATTTTTAAAAGACCCTTTATGGAGTATTCTAAGGAAAAATTATACACAATCACTGTTGGACAAAACACATTTTTACATTTCTTCTTTGTGAAAAGCACTTCAAAATGAAAGCTGTGTAATATACATTCCTGGTTTGTATTTTCAGTGCAAATGCCTGGAAAATATCTTATGCCAGGAAATGTAAACTATAAGAAAGGGAACAGCTGGTACTACTATAGACTAAGTTTAAGTGGATGTTGTATAAGTTTTCTTTTAGGAGCTTTGTTTAATTACAGATCTCATCGATAGAAGTTATGTATGTGACCTTAAATGATAAAGACAATGGATAAGAGATGTCAGTCATTTTGAAGGAGGTATTCTTTTTGTTTGCTTATAGAAAGTTTACTTTTCCAGAGGTTATTTTGGTTTGGTTAAATGAAGACTTGTATAAATAACTTTCTTAGTTGCAAGGACACACCAATATTGAAGCCACATCAACAGCAAGTTACTTAATAGTGCTTTGTGTTGATGACCCCTGCCTCTTTTCTCGCTGTGTGTTTGTAGATCTATGAACCTTCCAGTGCTTGTGGGTGACCTAAAACTCGTAATTAATGAACCAAGCAGGCTGCCACTGTTTGATGCTATCCGCCCACTTATTCCATTAAAACACCAGGTGGAATACGATCAGCTTACGCCCAAAAGATCAAGGTAAGAGAAATGCAGAACAATGTAGCTAACTCCAGATAAATACAAACAAGAAATATTGACTGAGTTTTAAGACAGCAGGTATTTTACTTGGAGTTTATCTATGCAGAGTAGGGCACATAGGCGCTTTTAAACTTTGCTGTGTTTTGTAGAAAAACTTGAACTACCTGAGACTTTTTGCAAAGTAGCTTAATCTAGTAGGGTAGGGTGTGGGAGTCCAAAAACAATGCTTCTCTTTTGAAATAAACTTTTCTCATTTTTCCTGCATTTAATAAAAACAAAAAATCTTATTGCTCTAACACCCTAGGAGCACTGACAGCTTCAGTGATTGCAGTGATTTTTCTTACGGGAACTACTTTGTGGTTTTAACATCCATCGAAGTTTTAGTCAGCTTGTTCTTTTTTCGTATCTGAATGCTCTAAGAGGAAAATAATACACAGCTTTCATATGAAATGCTGTTACTAGGAAATGTTATGCAGCTGAGCAGTTAGGTATCTTCTCCTGTTTCAGAAAACTGAAGGAAGTGAGATTGGATCGTTTGCACCCTGAAGGACTGGGAATAAGTGTGCGAGGAGGAGCGGAATTTAGCTGTGGCCTCTTTATTTCCCAGTTAGTTAAAGGAGGACAAGCAGACAATGTTGGACTACAGGTAAGACAATTATATCCGTTGATACTGTGCTGTAAAAAGCTTTTCTGTGACGTTAGAGAAACAGGCATTAAGAAGTGTTCTGTCATGTTTAGAAAAAGCTAGGTTGCTAGGTGATTTTTGTCTCTTCTAACAAAATATGTAAGATATGTATGTTGATGTCATAGCAAATGCCACTGGTGAATGCAGTTATTCAAATTGTTCTCTTCATCAGTTTTATTTAATTGTAGATGATAAAACCTTCTTCATCTTAGGGCTGCGATCATTTTGGACGATAAAAGGTTTTTCTGGAGTTTATACTTTGTTACTTGCAATAATTAAATGTAAGCAGACAGAGAAGATTGTTCTAATTTTGCCAAATTCTCATTAAATGTAAGACAGAGTACATAAATATTAAGAATGCTATTTCCATGTTGCGCTGATATAATTTATACACGGAGTTCAAATAAACACCTCATTACATAAATTGTATTGTGGTGGTGGCTTTTTTCCCAGTGAAAATGCAGAAAAGAAACATTCCCTATTTAGCCATTACAAGTATATTTTATACTGTATAAAGTTGCTTTTCCAATGATTAAACTCTAGGCATCTGAACCATAATAGTGCTGGCAAAAAAAAAAAAAGGTATAGGAACACTTCTTTTTCCTAATTCAGTACTTCTCCGACTTGTACATTTGAGGTTGTGGGGTTTTTTTGTTGTTTGTTTTGCTTTGTGGTGTTTTGTTGGTTGTTTTTTTTTTTTTTTTTGTATTTCTTTTTTGTTGTTGTTGGTTTCTTTTTAGTGCGTCATTCCTTCTTCATACATAGTGAAGAGAGAAATGAGCAGTTGCTGTGGCAGTTGTCTACATAAACTTTTCTGTAGCTGATAAGGAGTATTTGGAGGTCTGTTTCCATGTAGAACAGTTGATAAGTCTGGCTAATTTCAATTTGTGGAGTGTGAATAGTTGTTGAAATTGTTGACATTCAAGGTTTCTATTTAATACTAATTCAAAATGTGTTAATCATCATGATTCGATACAGTGTTTAATTAAGTTATATTTTGTAGGTACGCTTCATTTTAACCCTTAATGATATGGCTGTTATGGTTAGAGTTCAATATGGGAACTGTTGAGTCACAGCCTGAACCACTGACTGATCACCTGAGGCAAGGACTGGGTCAGCCCTGGGAGCACAGGTGAAGGCAATTCACCTGTGTGACTGAAAGGGGTGGAGCCTGGCTGCACCTCTCCTAGACCCCATTTAAGGGCTGACTGCCACAGGGGAAGCATCTCTTTCTGGAGATCCCTTCTTTGTAGAGTTTTCCACTGTGAGCCTCTATCCTTAGATATGAGTGAGCATTTCTTCCTTGATTATCTCTTTCCCACCATGATAATCTTTCCAACTATGACACCTGTAAAGTACCATCCTAGCTGCATTGTACATTTGCTGACTGTACAAGTTCCATGATTGCATATTATATTGAGAGCTTTCTAAAATGTACATGTTGTTCTTGTTTCCTTATACACATGTCTGTACACGTTTCCTTATATACACATGCTCTTTTGTGCATTTACAGCTATATATACCATTCACCAATTCAGAATCAACACTGAATTAGTCCTGTCTTTTGGCAGTGTTCTCTGAACGTGACCAGCTTCCTGGACACTCTTAGAAGTTCCCTTTTGGAACAAAACCTCAAATTCAGGGAACACATACTCAAAAATTCTGAGTTTATCATTGAGAGGGTGGTATATCAGACACAGTTAACATAGGCTGTAATGTCAGTAGCCTGTTCCTAAGCATGGGAGGTACCTGTGGGTCATCCAGAAAGTGACACCGATGCACTGATGTTCCTGGATTGTAGCAAGTTTGGTAGTGAGATTCCAGCTGCGTCCTTCCTTCATTGCTGGGGAAAAAAAAAAAAAAAAAAAAAAAAAAAGACTAGTCATTTATATTGCTTTTTTAAAAAAAAAGTATCTCCTGGATAATGCTTGAAGGCATTAGTGGTGCTGAGCAGTAAAGGATTTAATGGCCGCTGTCTTCAGCTGTTTTGGTAGTACATTCATCTTAATGCTATCTTGCAGATCTGATTCTCATTTGTTTCAGGCTAATGTTTGGACATGATAAATAGTGATGGTGAATGGGATTGCACAGGAGGACCTTTGGGCTGCTCTTACAAGTTGTACTGCAACTTAGAAGCTTAGCTAGAGTTTAGCAGACGTAACAGGGACAACAAGCACAGAATATCCTTCAGACTATGAATTTGTTAGGGTTAGATTATATATATTAACAGCTGGTGCATCACAGCTAAAGTAACTGCCTGATTTCCGTTCCCTGATATGGGCTGTTAAAGATCACCTTCAGGTGCCTTCATAATAGGTGGCACTGGGCACTTTCTAAAGCCATCTGAGTGGCAGGAGTTGACAGGCAGCCCATTGTTCTAAATTGCTGTCTCGCAGTAAAGCCAACTGCTACTGAAATTTCATCCACTTGTTTTATTTAACTAAATCTCTACACATTTTCTAACCAGAAAATGCCGTCTGAGAAAGATATAATGATCTTCTTTATAACATCAGTCCATTATTGTGCTTAAAAAAAAAAAAAAAAAAAAAAAGCTAGTTAATTTTGCAAATTTTTCTCCTTGAAGTAGTTTCCAAGCTATGTGAAAATGGCAGAATAATCGGGATTTTTTTTTTCTAAGGCATTTGACCTTTTTTTTTTTTTTAAGCTACATTTTCTCAAAAAAGGCAAGTGCTTAGTCCTTTCATGAAGAACTATTTTTTTTTTCTCTGCTTTCTCAGATATAAATATCTGTGAGGATTCTGTTGAATACAAAGAGATTAGGTTGATATGAATGATGAAAGTAGAAGTAGTATACCAAATGAGAAGTTTGAAACAATGATGTTATTGTGTAAAAGCCATTCAATTTCTTGGAAGCACTAAATATTGTATTTCTCATGTTAAAAGTTGAAAATAAAGGGTGTTTCACTTGGGAAAAAGGTTTGCAGCTTGAGTTTTGAAAGTTTGATGTCTCTTTGTTTGTAGAGAAATAGTAATATACTATTTCTACTCTGTAATGTAATTCTACTATATCTACTCTGCTCAATTGTGCAAACTTTTCTTTACTGCTTCCAAATGAGACATTTTGTATGGAATAATACTGGTAGAAAAGTAAGAAAGATATATGAAAAACAGGTATGAATTAACTATGTGGACACTTTTTTTTTTTTTTTTTTTTCCCCCAGAAAAAGCAATTCAAATGTTGTAACAAGAAGTGACGTGTTACATTCCTATGATGTCTCCTGTAGTTTCGGCCTAGACTGGCATTGTTCTAAGGCATCATCAGTTTTCACTGACAATAATGGAACTGAATAGAACGAGTTAAGCATAGCAAGCTTCAGAAATGGAATGGCAACATAGTGAAGATGAGTGGTGAAAATATCTACGTGGGAAAAATTCATTACTCTATGGGAGGAGAAAAGAAAAAACTCTCTTGGCTACATTTATAATTTTGTGTCTGTTAGGACAATGATGTAATGCTAACAGATACGGCTAGCTTACTTCAGAGTAACACTTTTTCCTCAAAAGTAGATTCCTTTGTGTGTCACATCACTGCAATTGATCGCATTGAATTTGGCTATTTCCTTAAGAACAATTTACTTTTCTTAAGTTTGTCTTTTTGTTTTTATGTAGGCCAAGGCTCCATGGGCTGTTGTAGTTTCTTGGCTTAGAAGCGGGGAATAAAGGACAGATCTTGAACTGTTCTTAAAAATATTTAAAAGCAATAAACAATAAAACCCACCAACATAAGTGTGTAAGGTGAACTGAGCAGATGGAACAACTGAAGACAATAGTACATATTTGTGGTAAATTATTTTACACAAACTTTTGGTATTTTTTGAAGTGTGTAATCCAGAGAGGCCAAAGGTAGGAAGGGATGAGGCTCTGTAGGTGTTTTATTACTGAGGACTCAGCCAGCCTTCCTTTGAAAATTAGGGTCACTCACTTTCTTATTGTTTCCTAGCTTGAGCAGTAGAATCCTAAATATACTTGAAAGTCTTAATGATTTGTAGAGAATGTTAAGTCTCTGTGCACAAAGCCACAAGAGTCTGAGTTTACTCACAGCTTGTTTTTTTCTTGGCAGTACAACCGTTGCCAATGAGAAGCCTGGTCTTAAAAATGCTTTTCTTACAATGGGTTTTCTGAAGTGTGGAGGGCAGTGAAACAGATCTAGATTATATTCTCTCTTAGTTTTTGGGGCAGGGAACTGTCTTAGAGTTTCACAGTGGATTTTCAGAGGAAAGGCAATAGCTGTCAGTTAAGAATGAGTGAATGGATGTGGCTTTGAACATTCGCAACAAGACAGTTAAGAGAAGTGTCTCTCACATAAATAGTGCAGTAAGAGGTGTGACACTACATTGCAGATGCGGTGTGCTTTTCTTTCTCAGATGCTCTGATTTTTATCATAGATTGTATGTTCAAAAGCCTTCAGTGCAGAGTTAACTCCCTTCTTTCTGAAAATCTTACTGGCTTAAATGAAAAAAGTTAAGCTCCAGGAGTGCTGAGAATTGCACGTGGGTCATTGCCCTGTCTGACGATTCCTAGGTAGTCCAGTGTTGACCACTCTGTTCATGAAAGAACAGGCCAGGCTGGATAAGGCCCTGGGCAGCTTGGACTGGTGGGTGGCAGCCTGCCCATTGCAGGGTGTTGGAATTGGATGATCTTTAAGATTCCCTCCAGCCCAGGCTATTCTATAGTTACACGATTCTGATTGTATGATTTTGAGTGTCCAGCAGGTGGGGCAGCAGTTCCACCTGCTGTGGACTACAGTCATCATGTGCCTCTGCAAAATATTCTCTAATTCAGGAGTCGTAGATTGCTTTTTGTTTATTTTTTCCTCCTCCACTTTGGTGGTCTTTTGAAGTTATACTGTGTTAGCTAAGCATATTGAAGTGCAGTGGAGTCTGTGCTTCAAGAGATATTTTGGCACGAGGGGGAGGTTTCGTATACTACTATGTATGTAGTATTTTGCATACTACTATGCATCATATGACACTTCCCAGAAAAAGTAGAAAAGTTCGGGAAAGAATTGAAAAAGTAGACTTTTTTTTTTTTTTTCCTTTGTTCCACTTGAACAGAGCACAGTTGGAAAATATATTTATTCCATATGAATAAAGGTAGAGATGGTGGATGATGGCATGTCTAATATCCCATCAAACAAGTTGGTGTACAAGACACAAGCCATACTGAAGAATTCCTGCTTCCTGTTCGTTGTCTTCCTCTCCCATGAACGTGGCAAAGTAAATGGTAGGATTTAGATAGAGCTAAATAGAACTGATAGAGTGCGCAGAGCCACAGCAGGAATTTCTATCTGTCTCCATCTTTGCCTTAAAATTGTCAGCAAGGTACGAAGAAGCTACTCTTCAGTGGTCTAGACTGTGACTTCTTCACTTCTTAAAAACCTTTTCAGGCACAGATACTCCCATCAAAATTGTATGATGGAAAAAACAGTGGAAACACTTCATGATTTAAACTAGCCACAGTAGATCACTTTCTTGTGACTAAGGCTGGTGGTGTTATCTTCTGTCCTAGAACAGTAAAGCTGGAAAGTCTCCATGGGGGAGACTTCCTATCAAGCTGTCAAAACCAAAGTTGTCAAATAATATGCATGGATGTGAATTAAAGGAGAGGAGGCCTTTTTAAATGAAAGCTTTGCAGTGGTGCAGTGTCGTTTTATCACTAAATAAACATGAGCTACTGATACAGCTAATTCTGGTTCCACTTGAGCTTTCTTCAACTGAATTTGCCTTGGGAATAACCTTAGTTTTGTTCCTGCTGCTGTTCAGGTTGCTTGTTCTTGGTCTGTTCTGTAGCTGATCGTGCTCTCTGTAGTCCATGTAGCCCAAATATGTATCACATGCATGCAGAGTAGCCTTGGGAATAAAATAATAATTTGTCTTCTGTTTGGTGGGAGCGTTCTTGTATGGTTTTGTTCCAAGTGTCCCGCTTATTTTTTTTGTGTCTTACAATAAGAGAGTTGGGACAATAGTGTGGCAGTACCATCTCCCCAGCTACAGTGTATGAAAAACAATGGGTTGCTGCTGTGAGACTCATGAAAGAGTGTCAGATGAATAATGTACTCTTTTGTAACTAGTGTACGTACTCCAAGAAGGTTTGAGCTACCGCAGCCCAGAATAAACCTCCACACACGAAGAGTACGACTCTTATAGCCAATAAGATATTGCATCTGAAATTGAGCTAAATTCATTAAAATAACATAGTATTCTGAATCTAGAATCAGACAACTGGATAAGACCAAGTTTTATGTTCTAATGACCAAAATAGTTGAAAAGATATCTCAGAGAGCATGTGATAAAAACTAATTTAGCCTATTAAAACATAAAGAATCATCACTCAAAAATTGTTTGAACTGGAAAATGGACACCTGAACTTAAGATAAATTGTGAGGCAGAAGTCTGGCTCATCTTCATGCTTTCCATTGTATATTATTTCTAAAACTGTTATTCTGGCCATTAATCTATGCTATTGGTTCTGAGTATTAAGTTCAAGCAAGTACAAGTAAATTTCATCCAGTGTTTACCTGAAATCCCTAAAGTACTGAACAGAACATTATCAAACTCCTGCATTGTAATTATTGTCGATTACATCATTTCTTAGAAACTTTTACTTTCATTCACATTTTCCTTTGATCTTTCATTTGTTTAGGTTGGGGATGAGATAGTTCGTATAAATGGATATTCCATCTCATCATGCACGCACGAGGAAGTCATAAACCTCATTCGCACAAAGAAAATAGTGTCCATAAAAGTGAGACGTAAGTGGCATCAAAAATCACCTCTATTACTAAAGGTTGTTAATAGATAAGCAGCGACCAGTAGAAAATGTTACTTAACGCAGCATTTCTCTTTTTCAGATGTTGGAATGATACCAGTCAAAAGGTAATAATCTTTAATTTTCACACAGCCCTTTCAGTACTCAAGGTATCACTCTTGTTTATCTGTATGCTTGAAAATTTGTGCCATGCATCTCTATAGCTAGTTAAAATGGCTTGTCTAGTGTGTTATCTTGTTACACAGGTCTGACTTATTATATGGCTGTTTCTTAAATGAACAAATTATGATTTCTTTGTTAATAGTTGATGCTTCCTGAAAATTTTATTCTCAACACATCTTGCTTAATAAAGAGCTTTACTACTTTTGCATGTATACGACATTCAAGAATTGCTTTAGAGCTTAGAAAAAGATCAAACTATTGTCCTCATCCAATTTGTTGACAGTTTGACACTGTAAGTGGAACATTTGACAAATGTTGATGAAATGTGCATCTGCATAGACATTCATATAAACTGTCTAAGTTTTTATGATTATTTTCCTTGCTATTCCTGGAGTTTCTCATTATTGTTTCAGTTGAAGAGGATTACTCGGTTTTAAATTTGGCCAGCTTTACTCACTGAAGTAATTGAATACTTTACTAGTCTAAATAATTTTATGCTTGCCTGATATTCTGTTTAAATAGCTGAGCAAAACATACGAGTTATAGTGAATGGTATCCTAAGGAATGAGTGGATGCAAAACACAATGCCTCATTTCAAAACAGCTTTTTGAACACATTCATGTTCTTTTTTCACTGTCATTTTTAATCACTCTTTCCTTTCAGTTCGGCAGATGAACCCCTTAAATGGCAATATGTGGATCAGTTTGTGTCAGATTCTGGGGTAAGAGATGAATTATGCTGTTTTCTGTGAAGTCTGTAATTGTTCTGAATCATTTTCTCCTTGAAACTTATCACAGAAGTCTTTGTATTTATTTTTTTAGATGCCGTATCTTATTACATGTGTTTGGGAAAAAACATCTTTTGTGATATGAAATGATTCTAGAATCACTAGATAAGGAAAGGGCCAGATACAAGTGTAACAACTTTTACTCACTGATTGGTACCATATTTTGTTTGACCAGGCCATTCTTTAACTGTATAAATATTTAACAGATGATTTGATCTATCTTTCTTATATTGGTGGAGGAATGACAACGTGAATGCAAGTGAATTGTAGACATGTGGAGAAATACCACAATTATCTAACTTGTCTTTCAGGAAGAAAAATTACGTTAAGTAGTGAGCATTATCAAGTCTTTTTTCAAGCTTTTTTTGTTAGGGAACATCTAAATTATTATTTTGCCGTATCACTTTCCTCTAATTTTCCTTCATCCTTGTCTGGAGAAAAAGGTGGATTATTGAAACAATTTTCTCCAAATAGATGTTTGTCTTTCACATCAGTCACACTGCACTACTGTAATTCTAATTGATCCATGGAGGAATCTTAATTTGGTATTGTCAGACTTTGTTCTTAGCTTTGTGAAGTTTCTATTGGTCTTCGTACAGCTTCATTCAACACAGAGTAATGCCTGCAGTTTTTAAATCTCTCTCTAGGAAGGAAAGGGCAGTGTGGCTGGTCTTGCTTCTTCTGGAGGAAGAGACAGTAAGGAGAAGAAAGTCTTCATTAGCTTGATCGGCACAAAAGGCATGGGATGCAGGTGGGTCCACGGCTTGTTAAATGAAACATCCAGGGCAGTTTGTTCCTTCATTCATTGAGGTGATACATAGAACATAAAGAACCACAGGGGACCAAGAAAACTTGACAGGAAAAGGAGGGCATCTGTGACACATATATATTATTAGACAAATATAAGTAACCGCGTCCCAGGTTCTGACTTAAAATTTTTAAAAAATCTCAATTTAAAAATCAAAGGAAGATCATAGTAACATCACAGAAGATGTGTTGTGGAACTAGATCTTTTAAATGCTTACAAATTTCTAAATTTTTCAATATTTTGAAATGCTGCTCTGTAATATAGTAGGTTTTAGCATTATCTACTGTCAAATTGACTCACCTAGACTACTATCTGTGAAAATTTTCTGAACTAAGAGGCAGTGGTTTGGTTCCTAATATTAATTTTGAATATCTAGCATTTTTCGAAATATGAGCAAATGCTTTTCAGACTTGTGTCCTTTCATCTAGTTGTGAAGATTCTGAGGTAGAAGAGAAATTGTAGGTTTTCTTTGCATGTTGCAGTGTGTAGCAGCTGAGATTAGCAAGATTTGCCCGCAAGAATATTTTCAAAAGAATAATTTTTCTTTAATATTGTTAGGAAGATAAAAAGTTTTAACTATATTTACAAAACCTGGAAGGGTGATTTGACATCACCTGCAGGATGTATTATCTACAGAAACGCCTGTTGTCTTGAGGGCCAGCATGGATTGCAGGTTGGATTTTCAACGCTAGATGTTGGACCCTGATTGCAATATCCTTTTTGTTTTTGGTAAACAATCCTGAACAATAATACTGTTATACATGTACACAGTATACTATAGTTCAACAAATAATTATGCAAGCAGTTATTAATTCTTCACTGCTTTACATGCTGACTTTTCAATACCATAAGCGCCCTCAGTCCCTTAGCGTTAGGACCATGTACTGTGTTAGCTTCAGCATCCAAAGCAATCTCCAGAAGCCTGAATACTTTTCTTTTGATGTTGTTCTTTTAAGTATGATTTTGTGGCAAGAAGGGTAGAAAAGTATTCTCTGTACTTGCAAAGTCCAGTGCTTGTTTCAGGGTAATCTACACCATAAAAAAACTTTCTCAATGAGAAAGAAGAAAACAAGACTTGTTGATTGCTTCTGTATCAGTATATAATTATTATTTTTATAATTTATTTTTTTAATCTTCCACCAGTATTTCCAGTGGTCCAACACAAAAACCAGGCATTTTTGTCAGTAATGTGAAGCCGGGTTCTCTTTCAGCAGAAGTGGGCTTAGAGGTAAGTATACCATTTTACAGTGTTGGTACTACAAAGAAATCTTGTTTGGCATTTATTTCTTCAAGGATTCCGGATCACTGTAGAGACATTAGCTGTTATTTCTTTCTATGGGAAAGAAATACTGTGTGGCTAGATTTCCAGTCAAAAAAGTTCCCTGCCTTTCAAAATGTGTGGGTCAGAACAACAGTCCACCTAACTCAAAATTTCATCTCAAATAGTGGCAATTGGAAATGCCGGTGGGAGACTGGCATGCTTGGCTGATTTCCCCTTGTGAATATTCTGCCAGTACGTGTAATTATTATATTGAGAATGTTTGACAGTCTCTCATTCCAGTTAGTATGTGTATTAGTACAGAATCTGTACTAAGATTTGGATTTACTCCTTTAGGTTGGTGATCAGATTGTTGAGGTGAATGGGGTGGACTTTTCGAATGTGGATCATAAAGAGGTAGGATTAAAACTACTTAGTTCCATTAATATGTAATTGTCAGTTTTTTTGTTGTTGTTGTTTTTGGTTTTTTTTAAGCTTCTGTTTCTCTTAGCTGCTTTTCATTGTACGTGCATAGCATGTTTACCACTAAATGCAGGATAATTTTTATTTTATTTTATTTTGCAGGCTGTCAGAGTGCTCAAAAGTAGCCGTACTTTGACTATCTCTGTAGTGGCAGGCGCTGTAAGTAGTATGTTTACAAAAGCACAATGTTTGTGAAAATTACTGTGTGGACAAATAAATAGTAAAAAATAAATAAGAAACAAAGCTGCATTTCATTACAATGTTTTTACTTCCAAATTTGGTCGAACTGAAGCCATTTGGAGTGGCTTATTATTTCTAACTATCCACAGTATGCTCAAATACAACAGTTCCAGGAATGTGTATTGTTCATGTGAAGTGTCAGGACAGTACTGTTCACTTGCAAGGACTGGGAATTAATTTTATGGTAATGATTTTTTCTGATTTTAGAGCTTGTGTTTTGACAGATAGCTTCTTCTACTGATACATGAAAGTTTGAGTCAATTAACATTTTCTCCTGAATAGTTAATGTATTCCTTGTACAACTGTTAGATCTCTTCTCTTTATTGTGTTTATTCAACACATTGAAAACTGTTCAATTTTTAATTTTCATTGTTTGTACAACAGAACAATATGCCTTTGGGTCCTGATCTAAAGTCAGCTGAAATTAATTTCTGCTGATTTCAGTGTGGCTTTCGAATAGTATTTCAATACTTTTTCTGCTTTAATCCTGACAGTAAAATGCGCAGTTTTATACAACAGCATACTTAAGTTCAGTAGACTAATCAAAGAAGACACTTTATAATTACCTCACAACTGAATTAAATAGAAATTAGGTTTAATAAATCATTTAGACTATTTCATAAGGGTTGTTACATGCTGTTTATCTGTATGAAGGAATCCATATTTTAATTAAACAACTCTTACTGGAAGAGACAATTGTTCAAAGGCATGATAAAATTGTTTAAAGAAATGCTCCAGGCTAGCTGATTAATCATCTCCTAATGAACATCCAAAGGATTTCAGTTCCAAGGGATGCTACAAGCTGTTAGAAAAAGTGTGTGCCATTGGCCTCATTAAAATTTTTGCTGTGGAACTCTTCAACTCCACTGTACTTCACCTCATTTTTTTCTCGTTTCTTTGGGACGTGTCTCTGTACCAAAGAAGAAATGGCAATAGATAAACTTTGTTTCTTTAATCCTTTTTTGTGGTTAAGTAAAGACCATGTCACAAAAGCATTCTTCAATGCCTGTTTTTGTTTATGAGCTTTAAAACCACAGAATTTTGAAAATTCATGCATTGATAATTAATGTTATTTATATTTCAGTAATAACTAAATATTTTCATCACATTCCACAATCAGAACCACTGATACACCTTTCTTGAGTAGTATTTTCTGGATTCTTATCTGTAAAGCAAATAAAATAGGACTAAAACCAGCTGAAACACATCATCTAATATAACCTCTTGCAAACTACATACCCTGCTTCATGGTATTCTGTAGCAGATAGGCGCAAGAACATTAAAAGATGATTACTGTGTGATTGTCTTTACCACTGGATTCTTTTGATGCCTTGTTGGGATGTATTGAGTGTGAGTTGGGCATGACAACTGCACTACTGCTGCAAAGTAGTTGCCTATGTTAGCACATCATACATTACTCCAAAACTGGAGTATTTCTTTGGAGTGAAGTGCCCAATCTTCTTGTCTTTCACAAAGCATTCTTGACTGAAAGTAATGGGAAGTAATGGCAAATGTGCTTATGTGTTATGTAAGCAGTTCTGAATTATTTCCTAGGAAAATTGCATCTGTGAGATCTCTAGTGACTGATTTGTGTTGCGATGCTGATTGCAGGGAAAGGAACTATTCATGACTGAAGAAGAGAGGCAGAGAGAAGCACATCTTCGTGAGCAGGAACGCCAGGAGTTAATGCATCAGAAGCGACTGGCACTGGAGACTAACAAAATCATCAAAGAGCAGCAAGAGAAAGAGAGATTGTAAGGAATCTGTCCAGGAGGGTCTGAAAAATTTTAGCTTAGATTTGGAGAGGGCAAGTAAGACAGAAATAATTATAAGAAGATTCCCAGCTGAACTTGATGTTATGGAGTCTCTAATCATGAATCCTTATTCCACTGATGTTTTGGGTTTTCAAAACCAGCATCATTCAAATAGGTGTACTGAGTTAAAGGGTTACTTTGTTCCTCAGCTGTCATACTCCCAATGCTTGGAGTATTGGGCATTGGGCATTTTCTTGATGCCATTCCCTTCTCTATGATTTTTAGTAGGATGGTAACAAATTTGTGCTCTTAGAATAACACACTATAGTACTGTCTCAGAAGGAGATAGAGAGTTAGAGTTAAATAGATAATGTGTCCTTGCTATCATATGGTCATGAATGTCCTCAAGGTTTGAACAAAAGTACGTTGAACCCTTGGTATCTTAAAGACTTTATTAAAAAAAAAAAATTCTTTCCCTATGTGTATGTATTTGCTGACCATATATTTCAGTAATTATATGCTGACACATTTTGTGCAAGTTCTTACTCAGAAATTACTATTTTTATCACGGTGTCCTAATTCCTGTTATAGAAGAAAAATGGAAATTTCCCAGAAGGCTGCAGAGGAAGAAGAGAGATATCGCAGAGAAATTGAGCAGTAAGTAACAGACTACAGAGGCAATATGCTGCCTGGAAAAAGAAGGGGAAAAAAACAAACAAACAACCAGGATTGTTATGTATTAGATCTGGCCAAAAACATTCTTTTCTAATAAAATTGTATATTTAATGAAGTGTAGTATCCCATGGATCTCAATAAGAGCACCAGAAACTTGCAAAATGGGAAACTGAAAAGCAGCACCTGGAAAACATAAGTGTTATGTTGATAATAAATAATGTAAACTTCAAGTTGAATGAAGTTGAATGTTCTTTTTTAAAACTATGTTATAAAGTATGTATCGAACAGGTATGTACAGAACACCAGATAAAAGAAATTGTGTCTCAGAACTTGATTATTCTGCTTCTGGTGTTTAATTTTAATGGAAAGGAAGAAATGAATGTTGGAATGAAATTGGTCAAGGAAGAAACGGAAGAATGGCTGAAGAGCTGGAAAACTTAAATTTTAAGAAAAAATATCAGATATGCCTAAATGACAGAGGTCATTAATTCTCAGTATACTTCAAGTTACATTGTAACGCCATAGATATTTTTTTTTTAATTAAATATAACAAGTTTAAACATTATTTTCAATGTGCCTTGCTGCTGATTGTGCTTCCAATTTTAAGTACTGACTTTCAGTGCAGATTAAATAGTGCTTTGGCCACGTGGATATGTTTTAAATTTATCTTAGCTAAATTTGGGATCCACAAGAAAATCCAAGTGCAAATGGTATCATATAAGATCTGGTAAATTTTGGTGCCGTTTGTCAGTTTATCAGTTCAAGACAGGCTGGAGCCAAGAATAGATCTTAGGCCACTTAAAGGTATTGTATATGAAACTACGAGTTATTAGGTTATGTGGTAGTACTGTTGTGACGTGGGATTTTCAGAATTTTCTTTCGAAGTGTCAATTTATTGATGGTGGTGCCTTTCTACTTTTTTTCCTTGTTTTATGAACTGCTTTTTCCTGCGGTGTGGCTGTTTTTCTAAAATGCTGACTTTAATGTGTTTTGTGCCTCAACAAGGTTTATATTTCATTGCCAAATGAGTCATTTTTTTAGTGTAGCCTAGAACTATGTCTTTAGGAAGCAATCATCATAATAGAAATAAGATCCAGTTAAAAATTCACAACTGAAACTTTAGACTCTAGGCATGTTGTAGATACTTCTACACTCCATATTTTAGTTGAAATGCTATTTTTCTAATATATACTTCAAATTTTGAAGTGGAAAAAAAAAATGAGAAACAGTTCTTCAATTAAGAAGAAACAGGCGACTTCAATTAAGGTGGTAGTGTTGTTGTGGATTCCTCTTGGCTTAAAATTTGTGAATTTGTTTATATATCTGTATATATACATCTTAACTTAATATGAAAATCAGAGTATTTTACATAGAGTTTCCAAGTTGTCCTAATAGCCATTGAGGTATCAAAGGCCATTAATAGATAACATTAAAATAGCTTTTTTTCCCATCTGTAATGTTGGAGTGTGTAAGTAAATTCTCATTTAGTGTTTGAACGTATTTCCAGCAAATCAGAAAGAAGTCATTAGGTTCTTCAAAAAATGACTCTTAAATCACTGAAAGGATTTTGGTTTGGTGCAAGAGGCATTTTATGATGCATTAATGGAAAACAAACACACCAAGATGTACTACAGAGTAAACAATTCTAATGAATTTATGTCTGCGTTGTTATTTTTATACTTTGTATTCATAGCTGCATTTTATTTTCCACATAGGATAACAGCAGAGGAAGAGAAATTTAAAAGGGAGTGGGAAGAAGACTGGGGGCCTAAAGAGCCTCCCAAACCTCTGAAAACTGTAACTGCAGAAGTGCACTCTGCTCCTCGTTCTAAGCACAAAAGTAAGTAACTGATTTCGGTCTGATTCCTTGGTAACTTTTTTGTTTCAGACACATTGAGTTGTATGGAATATATTGTATGTCAAAGCTGGGTCAGTGATCAGTTTGTGATTTTCAGAAGACTGGGAGCGCGTGAAAATTGTATTTAATGGTTCTTAGGAGGTACCCAGCTCACAGATGCTACAACTACTCAAACAATCATGGTTTTTTTTTTTTTACAATCAGCTGCAGGGAAGAAAAAAATCAGTTAACTAAGAAATCACTGCTTGAGATACAATCTCTTTAATTTGGGGTTCAGATACATTGCATTCCTTGTTGCTTTTGTGTTTCATTTGTCAAACTTCTAATGGAGGTGTTCTTGAATCAGTGGACGGTTTCCATTATATGTCCAAAAGAAAAGTGTGTTTATATTTTTTTATATATATGATGGTACATATATATAATGTACATGTACATAACGTGTACATAACATAATGTACACATAATGTACATAACATAACATGCTGAATTCCATACATAAACGAGTATTTACTTCACTGAAGATGATGTCACATAGTAAGTTACAGTTTTCTTCCATTTGTCATAAGTTTGTTACTTCTGAAAAGGAAGGTATGAAGAAGGGATAAGGGATAAATGTTTCTATTCTTCTTTCTCATTTGGGAATAGTTCTGACTTACTATATTACTCATAGCACTACGTAATTTAACTTTTTTTTTTAATTTAGTGAGAGGCGTTGGGAGGTAAACTTTGAAAACACAAAACTAATACAAGATTTGCAGTTTGAGTTGGAGTGAATGAATGTTCTTTGTTGTGCTCCTTCTAATGCTACTTTTTTTTTCCTCCCTCACTCTTAATTGAAGAATTATGTTAATTACTTAATTGAAGTATTATGAAGGATGGAGATAACAGTTTTGTGTATTTTCTGTATTTTGTCTTGTACTACTTTTGGCTTGAAAGAAATGAATGCAATGTTTAACTTTCATAAAATTCTAGATATCTTTTCTGTCCTCTTTTCACCAGAACCTGATTATCTTTTATTTTGGCAGACTTGGGAACCACTGGGATGTCTTACAGCTCCCTCACTTCACTTTTACAAGGAGGAAGTGACTGAGCCCATTCTTAGCATCTCCCATTCTCACTCAGCATGAGGCCATGTGTTTCCCATTGCCTGAAAAAAAAAATAATTCTCACTTCTTGTACTGAACTACAAGTCGTGTTGTACGGGTCAATATTTAGTTATAACCTTTAAGTAAACAATTGAGTAAGCAATTTAATGTAATCAATGTGACTACAACAGAAGCTATTACTGCATGATGACAGTAGAGCACTGGATAAATGAAAAAAAATCAAGCAAAAAATTAAGTGGTTTTCCCACTCTTTTTCTCTTTTAACAAATCAACTTCTTACTGTTATGACTTCCAGACCTCCTTTATTCATTTTAAGGCTGAATTATTTCATATATCATCTTCTGGACTTTGAGCTTTTTTGATTACTACGTTGAAAATGAAATAATGGCATAACAATGTTTGGAGTTCATACAAAAATTGTTGTATCTGTCTGTGATGCATGCTAAGAGCTTATATGGACGTAAGCATCCACTAAAGAAATCAGAATTTCCAGTTCCCAGTGACCTAATCCTTTGGGAAGCAAGGATACTTGTAAGCATTTGAGAAATCTGTGCATTTGTCTGTGAGCTAGTATGTGTAGCAGATGTGTTAACATCTTTAATAGACCATCTGTTAGTGGGAGAAAGAAATCCTGCTTTTTTTTCCTCTTTTTCTGTTCCCATCTTATTGTCACCTTTCTTCATGGATCCTGTTAATCTTTTATTTCCTTCTCAGCCCTCCTCATATCTTTTTTTCATCTGTTGCAACAACTCTTTAACAAACAGTCTGCAGAGCCTGATTTGTTATCACTGGGCAGTCTGCATCAAAATTATTTGAGAGATTGAGGGGGTGTTTTTTTTTTTTTTGTACACTGCAACTTTTCAGTGAGGAATTACACTGAGGTGTTAAGTTGTCCAAAGGAATTTAAGGCGCATGGAGCTTAATTTGCAGTTAAGAAGCGAAGTTGGAAGCTATACATGATGACCAGAGAGTGTACTAAAACGGTATTAGACAAAGTAAGTAGTGGGAAATGCTTATGGAGCAGGTATTGCAAAATTTAAGGGAAACCTGGGTCATTTCTGAACTTATTAACTTATTAACTTATTAATTGTTATTTTTTTCATGAGTGGGCAAGTCAGTTTTCTTTCCATGGGTAAGAAACTGAGCTGGGGGAAATATTTCATCCATTTAGTTTTCTGACTCTTCTGGACAGTGTTATCCCTGTACAGTGTTTGCCATACTGGCAGTGCAACAGAAGGCCGTTATCTGTTTCTGAAGCCAGACATCTAAGGACTTCTGATGGCTTAATAGGAGAAGCCACCTGCACATTTATCTTTATTGCAGAGCAGACTAATTGGCCATGTGTAAATTCTAACTGCTTTCTGAAGTTAGAGGAGATTAGAATTTGATTTGATCTGAGCAGGACTACAATCTTTTTTTTTTTTTTTCTTTTTTTTTCTTTCTTTTTTATTTTATTTTATTTTTATTTTTATTTTTATTTTTATTTTATTTGAGGCAAGATACCTCATTGCTAATTCTTTTTATTTCATGAAAACTACTAGTCACCCATTGCTGGTCTCTTTATTTCATGGGAATCTCCAGTTGACTTTCTGTCTCCTCATTCCCTTCCTCCTTTGTTTCTCTAGTAGATTTAGAGGGAGTTGCACATGACCAACTTGAAACAGATGACATGGATGAAGTGATCATGAAGCAGGACAAACAGGTTTGCCATCCAGCCTTAACTTCCTATCCTGATTCAGATTCTTCCTATGTTTCTCTTCCTTCTGACAGTCAGTCTTGACACTGAACTATGATCTGATTTTGCTAGAGCAATATATGTTGTCCTTTGGTATGATGAAAGGTTATGATACTGTTGTTGTCACTGCTTTCTAAAGATACTTCGACAAGAATACAAAACATGTCAATCCTACAGAAACATGGATTATAGTGAGAACTCTGTGTATTGTCAGTGTTTATTATGTACAATTATAATACTATATTATTTTGTCTGATTTTACTCCACTTTTTTTTGAATGTTTATGCACCTGCATGTGCATAGTTCACTGTGAGAAACAGCTTTTCTTGTCATCCTAAGCACCAATGCGTTCTGCAAGCTTGAAATAATTTGATTACTTGTTATGGTTTGTGTAAAGTAGGACGTGGACTACAGAAATCTCAGCAATGCATATGGCTGTATGGTTCTGTATAATAGTTAATTGTTGCATTTGCTTTGCTTAATACAAAATGTGTATCAGCTTAATACAAAATGTGTATCAGCAAAATAAGGGATATTTGTGACTAAATGTGCTAGCACAATTAATGAAGAAGTGGTTTAAGTACTTGTTTTATAATATTGAACATTCGTTGTGCCTCCAAATAAATTTTAACCAGTTATATGTATCAACAGGGATCAATCTGAACTAGACATCAACTTTTCTTAAAACAACAACTTTTCCTTTACCTTTTTGTAGCTTTTGGATGGTTTTATCGGTATGAAGGAAAATTTCCCACAATCCGTAAGGTACAAAGTGTGATAAGTGAGCTTGTTTGCTGTGCATTTGAATTTTAATTCCTCTTCTTTCTTCTCTTCCACTTTAACACATAGAAATTTAGATGCTTTTCAGATATATCTGCCTATGAATGCACTCTTTTGAACACTTAGAACTTCTCAAAACCTGCCAGCTGCAGTGAGAATTGAGTGTATACTTTGCAGAAGCTGTTCACCACAGATCAAAAAGTCCTCAAAATAATAAATAAATCCGTAAATAATAAAAGTTTTTGAAGATGCAAAAATTCAATGGAAGTCATGTGTGCCATTTCCAGTTAAACTTCTGCAGATCTCCCATTGAGAGTGCTGAAGGCAAAAGGCTTGTGTAAATCACACACAGAAAGGAAAAGTACCAGAAAATCTTTAAGTATGATGGAATACTTCTTAAATCTGTAGAGTCACATCTAAGACATTACTGCAGTTCCAAGTAGTACTTTATTCCTGCTATTGCTTTGTTCTCTTTATTTCTTTCAATATACCTTAGTTATATCATAGGTTTCTGTGTTGTTTGTTTCTTATGATGGCTGATAGTAATTTACTGGGGTAGGACAAACTGTCAAAGAGGGCTCATAGATCTCTCTCCAAAGAACTCAGAATTTCTGAGAAGGACAGAGGAAGTATTTGAATCATCATTTATGACTGTTTTTTTTAACCTTCTAGGAGGGTAAGAAATGCCAGCGGTTTTGATCTTAACTAGAATAAGAAAATGACAGTGTACTCTGATGCCATTTCTTATTGCTAGTGACTGTAAATCAACTTCGATCTGAAACACATAAAATCCAGTATGGTTAGGATCATCTGACAAAGATAAATACATTATGAAAATTCAGCCTCTTCACACAAATAGAGGATTTTTGCTATGGCTGCTGACCAAGATAATTTACAGAGTCTCCAAATACCTTCTCATATATTAATAAAGATTCAGCTCAGTTCCTGCTGAACTCTGCTACACAATGTGGACTAAAACTTGAAAGTACCTTAACCTTTTACTTTTAGAAATACTTTTAAATATTCAAATGGTAAATTTTCTTCCTACTGAAAATTGCAAATGGATTTCCTGCGTGTGCACTAAAAACAAAATTTCACTCTGTACTTAAAATATCTTTAATAGGAAATTAACTGAATCCATGGGGAAAAAGGACAGAAGAGATGAGTCATCTTGTTGTATCTGAAAGCAATAAATGCAGCTAAGATGGTCTCTGATGTTGATATTTTGAAACTCTTTGGCATGCATACTGCTTAGCGTGCCTTTAGGTTTAGTAATTTTTCAAATGTTGAGAGCTGGTGGGTTGACTACCACCTTCCAGATACATTATTAAGTGCTATCTATGAAATGTAGTATCTTCTAATTTATTAGAGGATGATATTTTATCAAAAATTGTAACTAAACTAACTAGCCCTGCATAAAACATGCCAACAGAATGTTATTAAAACATGAGAAGCTAGCTGTTTGACTTAAGGTTGTTTTGTGGTTTTCTTTTTTATCTCTAAAAATTGTTGGTTTTCCAACAGTAGCTACACTTAACTGCAGAGCAGTAGTCAACTTACCACTGAACTCATCCAACAGGATCATGGGCTAAAAGACTATGAAGAAATCTTGCCCTTTGGTTGCATTGTGCATTCAACATTTTAGAATTATTATGTACAGTATTATTTCACGCAAAAGCTGATTTTTGCTGCTGGTGGTAGGGACTGGTCTTCATGATCTGGAATTCTTTCCTGAGAGCAGTTTAGTTTCTCTGTTGATCTAGGCCTCTCCATTAAAGGTGCTTGTTTGTATTAAGGCATGCAATGGTGTGTTTAGGATGTATGAAGTATGAAGCATTTCTTTGTTCGCATCTATGTGTACACGAGTGTCTGAAAGCAGTCAGTCTCCTACTGATGTAAAAAAAAAAACGAAGAGAGATAATAACTAACCAAACCAATCTAACTAAAGAGAACTAATCAAAACTGATTAACTATTTGAAAAAAAGTTCTGTAATGGACCTATCTGCTCTACAGTTGTAACTTTGCAGAGGAGTCAGAGGAGCTGACTGGCTGTGTACAGGCAGTCCAAAAGAGTTGAATTTCTAGCAAATTGCTGAGGAAATGCAGTTAAAAATTATACCTGAAAGACTGATTCCATACTTGCACTATACTTCAGTTTTCAAGGCAGGCACTCATGTACTGAGCTTGAAGTTTGCCATGTTTTTAGTTTATGTAAAAATCTAGCTTAAATATAATAATAATTCCCAGAAAGGAAAGGAGAGAAAGAAGTCAAAAAGTGACAGTTTTTGTGAACAGAAGAAGAATAAAAAGGAAATGGAATTTGAGCAAAGACTTGCCAAAGAGAAAGAAGGAATGCTGGAGAAAGAAAAACAACTGAAAATAAATCGTCTTGTGCAGGAGGTATGTTGTATTCTTCTATCAGGTGAAAAATTACACTGGAGAAAAATGAGGTGAATTTTCAGTGGAAGTATCTGAATTGGGCACTTGTTTAATTGTCAAAGATAACTAAGTTTAAAAATGAATTACATTTCACCACAAACCTCTGTTTCCAAATTCGATTGTAGCTACCGTCAATTTTTGTTCAAATGAGGCAAAAACTGCATTTATGTACCGTCCATATTTAGTGGTGAGTTTAATGGAAGACAGCAGAATAGGAAGCCATTCTCAAAAGCACAGCTAGTTGTAAAACTAATCTAAATGGCATATCCTAAGTTTGAAGCCTTTGTACTGTAACTATATCTCCAATCTTTTTTTTAATACACTGGTGATATGCTTAAGGTATCTGAAACAGAACGTGAAGATCTGGAAGAATCAGAAAAAGTGCAGCATTGGGTGGAAAGACTTTGTCAGACACGGTTAGAACAGATTTCCTCTGTGGAAAATGAATCTCCTGAGGTAAAATGCTAGTTTTTCTATATGCTGCACGATCTCAAAATTACTCACTGGTTTTCTCCTAACAACAATAGCTTTTACCAGATGTAATAGAGAAAAAAAAAAACTGTCTTGTTCTTTGCTTCTCAGCCTTTATCCTAATAAAGGAAAAAGGAAAGAAGAGGAAAACTGTCAGCAGTTGGTGAATGGCAATGTAAATCTGATGGTTAGACTAGATGATCTTAGACATCTTTTCCAACTTTAATGACTCTATGTTTCTATAGCATTTGATGTTTCCATAGTTCATAGAGATGATGTCATTTGTTAAAGGTCAATGCTAGTGTTTCCGGTTTGTACATTTCAGTATGCTATTGCTACAAAATAACTTAATTGGTTCATGAGCACTCTTTGGGATAGGTAGAACATGCTGCCAATAAAATTTACTAAGTGAGAGTAGAATATCCAGCTGTATTTTTTTTTAATATTCTACACAAATAATAACATCACTAATCATTTCTTTAATGCCTGCTTGAATTGTAATCACAATTCAAGTACTAATTGCAACTAACTAAGTGACATTAAGAGACTGACAAAAGAAAAAACCTCCCAAATAATCAGATCCTTTGTTTTAAGTAGTCCCCCCAGATGAAGAAAGATGCAGAGAGTGATTGTGCCTTAGCTACGTGCCTCTCTGTGTGGAGAGAGGCTTTCCCACCATCCTGCTGTGTGGCTTTCTTCCAAGCACAGCTGCTTTCAGGAGGAACACTGCAATCTACTGAATTCCCCTGAGACTCCAAGCAATTGTAACCACACAACCACAAAGGGACCCTTGGGGAACCCTCTTAGTCAAATTTTCTACGGGTCAATATGCTGCAGCCCTGAAAAAAACAGCCGGTCTTCTATTCTTCCTACTCATAGGTTTGGATCCGCTTTGTTCTTTAGTGCAGGTCTCCAGAATGGTGGAATGATTACGCTAAGTTTTCTTCGGCTTTCTACCAGATTTTTGGAAAGTAAAGTTGGCACATTATGGGCTGAAGTCACTGTTGCAGAGCTCTACTCTCATTTGAGACAAATATTCTGTATTTGCGCTACCAGTTCTTCTACATTACGTACGATTAGCCTATTGTAGAACTTCTACAAAACTACTCAAGCAGTTACACTCATATAATATGTAAAGACAGAATGCTTCTGAGGAATAGATGTAGCTGAACTGTATTGAGGTACTACAGGCCTGAACTCCTGCTTGGGTACAAGAGCAACCAACATCTATTTTACTTGGGAAGAAATGTGTGTGTTTTTTTAGTACCAAAAAGTGA